AAAATTAAAGTCCCATGGGGGAACGGGCCTGACTGTCACTTCACCTGACCCAGAACCTGAGTTTTGCACACGGCTTGACTGGTTACCGTGTGATGTTGGGAAAGCTGGTTAACATTTCTATGCCATACTTTTCTATATAAAATTGGGTTAATGGTTATACCTAGAAGAGCTAGGTGTTACGAGAAGGAAAGGAGTGAATACATGGGAAGCATTTAGAATGGTGACTGGTACATAGTAATCATTAAATGCATTTAAACTACAATTTGCATCATCTTTATGTTGTTGGCAAATTAATTAGCCTTTTCTAAGACTGTGTGAATTGAATGTGATAATGAACCTAACCACCCTCCCTCCTCCAGACACTACTCTTATAATCCGACTTTGTCTCTTCTTACCGTGCAAATAACTACCTCCATTCCTCAACCCTTTCCCACCCATCTCCCCATATTTCTGCTTGTATGTCTTGTCCTAACAATGTATTAAGCAACATCTCAAAGCCAGAAGACAGTTACTCCTGACACCAGTTTCCTAATCAACACTCAGCCTTTGGGAGAGCACAGTGAAATCGAGAGGCCGCAGACACAGATGTGGTTAGCACACTCTGCAGGCCACCAAGAAAATATTTTCACTGATTCCTCTAAGGCAAAGCTACATCAAACCTGAGCCAAAAGAGGCTGCTGTCTTCCAGAAAAGACACCATAAGTGATCCTTACTGAGTGGCTCCTGCTTGCAACGAAATGGGTTTGAGAGGAAAGAATTTGGCCAATGCCTGAAGCCTCCAAGATAAATCCTAGAGATTCTCTCTCCACAGAAATCCCCCTTTCCTTATTGTCTGTCAAAGGTGCCACCCAGTGGGCCACTGAGAATGTCTGCAGACTGTTTTGTTTGGTTGCTGACTAGAGATTTGGAACATTTAGCTATGAGGATGGCTTCCCCTTAGAATTTGATTGTTACTCTGATGCCATAGTAAAAAAATGCTAGACATAATTATTGCTTTGGAGAATGTGGGCATGGATACACATACACACAGACACACACCCCTTAGATATATTAAGTCCAAATGGCTGTGCCCAAATTTGGCTGCCAGCTCTAGTAATGAGGAATGGTCTTCATATACTTGAGCTGTGGGATTTGGTGAGTGAATTTCTGCACAAGCTCAGAGGGACAGAAATGATACTCGAGCCAGATTACAGTTTCTGATCCCTAGCTCCTCAAATTTCTGGCTTTGTGGCCTTGGGCAAGGTACTTAACTCCTCTGATGTCCAGCTTCCTTGTCTGTAAAATGGAAAGGATCATAACAGTAGCCCCTTTCATATGGATATTGTGAGAGGTAAATTGGTGAACATGAGTCACACTTAGAACAATGTCTGAAACATGCTAAAAGCTAGATGGGTGAACTTGGCTGAGGGGTTCTTAGGAAACCCACACTTCTCTCATTTAAAAAAAAAAAAAAAAAAGAAAGCTAAATTGACCAAATTATAGAACACAGTTGATTTTACCTGGAGGCTGAAAATTCTCCCTGTTATTTATGGTTATTTTAGAAAGCCAGACTAAATAATGTGGTTAGAATAAATAGATAACCAACAAGCACCTATTGTATAGCACAGGGAACTCTACTGAATATTTTGTAATAACCTATAAGGGAAAAGAATCTGAAAAAAAATAGTTATATACGTGTATATAACTGACTCACTTTGCTGTTCACAAGAAACTAACACAACATTGTAAATCATCTATACTTCAATTAAAAAAAAAAGTGCTTAGAATAGATTTTCTCCCTCCAGAACTGCTCTGGAGTTTCTCTGTATGAGGGGTTCCAATCCTTGCAAACATATTTTCTATTATCATCCATAAGACGTGACTACATCAGACTGGACCAAAAGTTTATTTATTTATTTGACGTGTACTAACTGAGTGCCCACCACATGACAGACTGGTATGTGAATGCTGAGAAGACAGAGAGATACAGTTAAGTATCCGGTCAGTTGAGGCTCAGACTGATAAGTGTATGACAAGGGAACATTCTGAGAGTATCTAAAAGGGGTGCTTCATCCAGACTTGGCCAGGACCAAAAAAGTCTTCCTTTATCAAAGTATGACATGTGGGCTGAGATTCAGGCTGGAAGAAGAGCAGAAATTATTCAGGTGGAGCTTGAGGGGAAATGTGTTTCAGGGAGATGGGAATAGTACTGATGAAGGTTCAAGACTTCTGAGAGTTTGGGAAGACTGAAAGAAAGAAAAGGCTGGACCGGGCTTTGAGCTAGGGAGTGGTGAGGAAAGAAGCTGGAGATAGGGGCTTCCCCGGTGGTGCAGTTGAGAGTCCGCCTGCCGATGCAGGGGACACGGGTTCGTGCCCCAGACCGGGAAGATCCCACATGCCGCGGAGTGGCTGGGCCCGTGAGCCATGGCCGCTGAGCCTGCGCGTCCGGAGCCTGAGCTCCGCAACGGGGGAGGTCACAACAGTGAGAGGCCCACGTACCACAAAAAAAAAAAAAAAAAAAAAAAAAAAAGAATCTGGAGATAGAACCAAGTAATTCTCTGACAATGAAAGAGCAATGCTCCCCACATTACATACATTTTACATACATTTTAGCATATTAGATACATTACATACATTTTAGCATATTAGATATTCTATCTAAAATATATACTTATTTCCCAAGGGATAATTTTTGAGCCTGGACTTTGCAATATTAATATGAAATTAAAATTATTTCCATTTTACAGATGTGGAAACTGAGATCCCCACTACTAGGTCATACAACTAGTAGCTGGTCAGATTTGGATTTGCAACTGGCTCCTCCATAGTTCTTAAACTTTTTCCATTGTGCTGTATTGCTATCCAGAAAGGTATCTTCCATATAGTACTATATGATATAATGACTTAAAAAACGTTGGACCTTAAAGAATATGTCTCGAGTTACTCATCACTGAATCAATAATGTTGTTCCTTTAAGAAAAGACTGGGGCATATTTTAGACCTGAGGAGTAGAAATGCAGAGGCATAATCTCATGGTGGGAGACATCCTATCAACACTGGAGAATGGTCTTCATCATATTATGGCCCCAAAGTATGCTGGGAAGACAGTTCCACCCAGTCTACGTTATCAGCCGTATCTCCTTCACTCTTCTGCCACTTTCTGAAAGGAGTTTGTGAGAATGAGCAGAAGTAGGGGGGAAAGGGGAGGATGAAATGTTGCCACTGGAATCTGTGGGAATCCAGGGAACAGAAACCTCCCAGAGTAGGTTTCTGCCCAGGTAATTTAGGCTTCATTTTTTTGACTATTTCAAGCACTGATATCTCATTTCTGAGGAAAATTAAAATGATCTCTTCTCCAAATACCATATGATATCACTTATCTGTAGAATCTAAAACATGACACAAATGAACTTATCTACGAAAGAGAAACAGACTCACAGACTTAGAGAATAGATTTGTGGTTGCCAAGGGGGAGGGCGGTAGGGGCGGGTTGGATTGGGAGTTTGGGATTAGCAGATACAAACTATTATATATAGAATGGATAAACAACAAGGTCCCACTGTATAACACAGGGAACTATATTCAACATCCTGTAATAAAACCATAAAGGCAAAGAAAAATAAATAAATAAATAAAATGGTCTCTTCTCAATGTACACTAGTATCGGACCATTTATGCATTCCCTTTTTTTGCTTCTTACAGGCTATCCAGACCCTGAATGGAGCAATAATTCTGTCTCTGGGTGTTTTTATGTGTTCCTTACGAAACTTGCCCCATCCACCCAATTACATATTTTTCTTGATTGTTTATACAGGCTATCAGATATGGAGTGCTATATCTGTGGGTATTCAGATTTCACTGACCATAGGTAATGTCTTAGATACCACTGCTAGAAATGTATTTTGGCAACTTTTCTCTCAAATTTTAGGGGTGGCTTGGTAAACGATTATGAGACTTATGAATTAAAAAATAGAATGAAGTTTTGAGAGAGCCGTGAACATGTAGAGAGTTCCATTTATCAAAATTAGAGTCATGGAACTAATAGCAGGTCAAAATAATAACTTAGAAATTAGTGGATATGGATACTGAACCAAGAGGCGGAGTAGAAGGACGTGCTCTCACTCCCTCTTGCGAGAAAACCAGAATCACAACTAGCTGCTGGACAATCATCTACAGGAGGACACGGGAACTCACCAAAAAGATATCCCACATCCAAAGAGAAAGGAGAAGCCACAGTGAGATGGTAAGAGGGGCTCAATCACAGTAAAATCAAATCCCATAACTTCTGGGTGGGTGACTCACAGACTGGAGAACACTTATACCACAGAAGTCCACCCACTGGAGTGAAGGTTCTGAGCCCCACGTCAGGCTTCCCAACCTGGGGGTCCAGCAATGGGAGGAGGAATTCCTAGAGAATCAGACCTTGAAGGCTAGTGGTATTTGATTGCAGGATGTCGACAGGACTCGGGGAAACAGACTCCACTCTTGGAGGGCACACACAAAGTAGTGTGCGCATCGGGACCCAGGGGAAGGAGCAGTGACCCCATAGGAGACTGAACCACATCTACCTGCTAGTGTTGGAGGGTCTCCTGCAGAGGCGGGGTGTGTGTGTGGCTCACCGTGGGGACAAGGACACTGGCAGCAGAAGTTCTGGGAAGTACTCATGGCGTGAGCCCTCCCAGAGTCTGCCATTAGCCCCACCAAAGAGCCCAGGTAGGCTCCAGTGTTGGGTTGCCTCGGGCCAAACAAACAACAGGGAGGGAACCCAGCCCCACCCATGAGCAGTCAAGCGGATTAAAGTTTTCCTGAGCTCTGCCCACCAGAGCAACAGTCAGCTCTACTCACCACCAGTCCCTCAGGAAACTTGCACAAGTTTGCACTCTTAGAGAGCCGCATCCACCAGACGGCAGACAGCAGAAGCAAGAAGAACTACAATCCTGCAGCCTGTAGAACAAAAACCACATTCACAGAAAGATAGACAAGATGAAAAGGCAGAGGGCTATGTACCGGATGAAGGAACAAGATAAAATCGCAGAAAAACAACTAAATGAAGTGGAGATAGGCAACATTCCAGAAAAAGAATTCAGAATAATGATAGTGAAGGTGATCCAGGACCTTGGAAAACGAATGGAGGCAAAGATTGAGAAGATGCAAGAAATGTTGAACAAAGACCTAGAAGAATTAAAGAACAAACAAACAGAGATGGACAATACAATAACTGAAATGAAAACTACACTAGAAGGAATCAATAGCAGAATAACTGAGGCAGAAGAACGGATAAGTGACCTGGAAGACAGAACAGTGGAATTCACTGCTGTGGAACAGAATAAAGAAAAAAGAATGAAAAGAAATGAAGACAGCCTAAGAGACCTCTGGGGCAACATTAAACACAACAACATTCACATTATAGGGGTTCCAGAAGGAGCAGAGAGAGAGAAAGGACCAGAGAAAATATTTGAAGAGATTAGAGTCGAAAACTTCCCTAACATGGGAAAGGAAATAGCCACCCAAGTCCAAGAAGCACAGAGAGTCCCATACAGGATAAACCCAAGGAGAAACATGCCGAGACACACAGTAATCAAACTGGAAAAATTTAAAGACAAAGAAAAATTATTGAAGGCAGCAAGGGAAAAATGACAAATAACATACAAGGGAACTCCCATAAGGTTAACAGCTGACTTCTCAGCAGAAGCTCTACAAGCCAGAACGGCATGGCATGATATACTTAAAGTGATGAAAGGGAAGAACGTACAACCAAGATTACACTAACCCAGCAAGGATCTCATTCAGATTTGATGGAGAAATCAAAAGCTTTACAGACAAGCAAAAGCTGAGAGAATTCAGCACCACCAAACCAGCTCTACAACAAATGCTAAAGGAACTTCTCTAAGTGGGAAACACAAGAGAAGAAAGAGACCTAACAAAAACAAACCCAAAACAATTAAGAAAATGGCCATAGGAACATACATATTGATAATTACCTGAAATGTCAATGGATTAAATGCACCAAGCAAAAGACACAGGCTTGCTGAATGGATACAAGAAAAAGACCCATATATCTGCTGTCTACAAGAGACCCACTTCAGACCTAGGGACACATACAGACTGAAAGCGAGGGGATAGAAAAAGTTATCCCATGCAAATGGAAATCAAAAGAAAGCTGGAGTAGCTATATTCCTATCAGATAAAATAGACTTTAAAATAAAGAATGTTACAAGAGACAAGGAAGGACACTACATAATGATCAAGGGATCGATCCAAGACGAAGATATAACAATTATAAATATATATATACCCAACATAGGAGCACCTCAATACATAAGGCAACTGCTAACAGCTATAAAAGAGGAAATTGACAATAACACAATAATAGTGGGGGACTTTAACACCTCACTTACACCAATGGACATATCATCCAAACAGAAAATTAATAAGGAAACACAAGCTTTAAATGGCACAGTAGACCAGATAGATGTAATTGATATTTATAGGACATTCCATCCAAAAACAGAAGGTTACACTTTCTTCTCAAGTGCACACGGAACATTCTCCAGGATAGATCACATCTTGGGTCACAAATCAAGCCTCAGTAAATTTAAGAAAATTGAAATCATATCAAGCATCTTTACTGACCACAACGCTATGAGATTAGAAATGAATTACAGGAAAAAGACATAAAAAACACAAACACATGGAGGCTAAACAATACATTACTAAGTAACCAAGAGATCACTGAAGAAATCAAAGAGGAAATCAAAAATACCTAGAGACAAATGACAATGAAAACACGATGATCCAAAACCTATGGGATGCAGCAAAAGCAGTTCTAAGAGGGAAGTTTATAGCTATGCAAGCCTACCTCAAGAAACAAGAAAAATCTCAAATAAACAATCTAACCTCACACTTAAAGGAACTAGAGAAAGAAGAACAAACAAAACCCAAAGTTAGCAGAAGGAAAGAAATCATAAAGATCAGAGCAGAAATAAATGAAATAGAAACAAAGAAAACAATGTCAAAGATCAATAAAACTAAAAGCTGGTTCTTTGAGAAGATATACAAAATTGATAATCCATTAGCCAGACTCATCAAGAAAAAGAGAGGACTCAAATCGATAAAATTAGAAATGAAAAAGGAGAAGTTACAACAGACACCATAGAAATACAAAGAGTCTTAAGAGACTACTACAAGCAACTCTATGCCGATAAAATGGCCAACCTGGAAGAAATGGACAAATTCTTCGAAAGGTATAACCTTCCAAGACTGAACCAGCAAGAAATAGAAAATATGAAGAGACCAATCACAAGTAATGAAATTGAGATGAAAAACCTTCCAACAAACAAAAGTCCAGGACCAGATGGCTTCACAGGTGAATTCTATCAAACATTTAGAGAAGAGCTAACACCCATCCTTCTCAAACTCTTCTAAATAATTGCAGAGGAAGGAACACTCCCAAACTCATTGTATAAGGCCACCATCACCCTTATACCAAAGCCAGACAAAGATACTACAAAAAAAGAAAATTACAGACCAGTATCACTTGAATGAATATAGATGCAAAAATTCTCAACAAAATACTAGCAAACAGAACCCAACAACACATAAAAAGATCATACACCATGATCAAGTGGGATTTATCCCGGGGATGCAAGGATTCTTCAATATATGCAAATCAGTCAATGTGATACACCATATTAACAAACTGAAGAATAAAAACCATATGATCATCTCAATAGATGCAGAAAAAGCTTTTGACAAAATTCAACACCCATTTTTGATTAAAAAAATCTCCAGAAAGTGGGCATAGAGGGAACCTACCTCAACATAATAAAGGTAATATACGACAAACCCACAGCAAACATCATTCTCAATGGGGAAAAACTGAAAGCATTTCCTCTAAGATCAGGAACAAGACAAGGATGTCCACTCTCACCACTATTATTCAACATAGTTTTGGAAGTCCTAGCCATGGCAATCAGAGAAGAAAAAGAAATAAGAGGAATCCAAATCAGAAAAGAAGAATTAAAACTGTCACTGTTTGCAGAATACATGATGCTATACATAGAGAATCCTAAAGATGCCACCAGAAAACTACTAGAGCTAATCAATGAATTTGGTAAAGTTGCAGGATACAAAATTAATGCACAGGAAACTCTTCATTCCTATACACTAATGATGAAAAATCTGAAAGAGAAATTAAGGAAACACTCCCATTTACCATGGCAACACAAAGACTAAAGTACCTAAGAAAAAACCTACCTAGGGAGACAAAAGACCTGTATGCAGAAAACTAAAAGACACTGATGAAAGAAATTAAAGATGATACCAACAGATGGAGAGATATACCACGTTCTTGGATTGGAAGAATCAATATTGTAAACATGACTATACTACTTAAAGCAATCTACAGATTCAATGCAATCCCTATCAAATTACCGATGGCATTTTTTACGGAACTAGAACAAAAAATCTTAAAATTTGTATGGAGACACAAAAAACCCTGAATAGCCAAAGCAGTTTTGAGGGAAATAAATGGAGCTGGAGGAATCAGACTCTGTGACTTCAGACTATACTACAAAGCTACAGTAATCAAGACAATATGGTACTGGCACAAAAACAGAAATACAGATCAATGGAATAGGATAGAAAGCCCAGAGATAAACCCACGCACCTATGGTCAACTAATCTATGACAAAGGAGGCAAGGATATACAATGGAGAAAAGACAGTCTCTTCAGTAAGTGGTGATGGAAAACTGGACAGCTGCATGTAAAAGAATGAAATTAGAACACTCCCTAACACCATACACAAAAATAAACTCAAAATGGATTAGAGACTTAAATGTAAGACTGGACACTATAAAACTCTTAGAGGAAAACATAAGAAGAACACTCTTTGACATAAATCACAGCAAGATCTTTTTTGATCCACCTCCTAGAGTAATGGAAATAAAAACAAATATAAACAAATGGGACCTAATGAAATTTCAAAGCTTTTGCCCAGCAAAGGAAACCATAAACAAGACGAAAACACAACCTTCAGAATGGGAGAAAATATTTGCAAAGAAATCAACAGACAAAGAATTAATCTCCAAAATATATAAACAGCTCATGCACCTCAATATTAAAAAAACAAACAACCCAATCCAAATATGGGCAGAAGACCTAAGTAGACATTTTCCAAAGAAGAAATACAGATGGCCAAGAAGCACATGAAAAGCTGCTCAACATCACTAATTATTAGAGAAATGAAAATCAAAACTACAATGAGGTACCACCTCACAGCAGTTAGAACGGGTGTCATCAGAAAATCTACAAACAACAAATGCTGGAGAGGGTGTGGAGAAAAGGGAACCCTCTTGCACTGTTGGTGGGAATGTAAATTGATACAGCCACTATGGAGAACAGTATGGAGGTTCCTTAAAAAACTAAAAATAAAATTACCATCTGATCCAGCAATCCCACTACTGGGCATATACCCAGAGAAAAGCATAATTCCAAAAGACACATGCACCCCAATGTTCACTGCAGCACTATTTACAATAGCCAGGTCATGGAAGCAACCTATATGCCCATCGACAGACAAATGGATAAAGATGTGGTACATATATACAATGGACTATTACTCAGCCACAGAAAGGAACGAAATTGGGTCATTTGTAGAGACGTGGATGGATCTAGAGACTGTCATACAGAGTGAAGTAAGTCAGAAAGAGAAAAACAAATATCGTATATTAACGCATACATGTGGAAGCTAGAAAAATGGTAGATGAACCGGTTTGCAGAGCAGAAAGTGAGACACAGATGTAGAGAACTAGCGTATGGACACCAAGCGGGGAAAGCAGTGGGGGGATGGTGGTGGTGGTGGTGTGATGAACTGGGCAATTGGGATTGACATATATACACTGATGTGTATAAAATGGATGACTAATAAGAACCTGCTGTATAAAAAAATTAAATTAAATTAAAAAATTAAAAAATAGAAGTTTTAAATAACTTGCAAAAAAAAAATTAGTGGATATGTCCATAGAGATACTTAGATGTATAAAAGGTCTTTTAGAACGCCTAGTCCAATAAATCAAACCCATATCTGGAGCTTGGGTGAGAATATGAGAATGGTATTAAATACGCTTATGTATGTAAATAAATATTATTTACTTTTAATATAAACATAAGCATAAAGATAATTATATTACATTGAATATGTGTATTTATTATATGATAAAGTATGCACACCCATATAAACCTGTAAAAGGCCAAGAACAAAACAAAATGAAAACCTTATACATTTATTCAAAATTTAGACTCATTTAAAATTTTATTTGTATAAAATGATGAGCAAAGTCAAGTATAATTTTGTGTTCTAGAATGGGAATTTGAAAAGGAAGTTTGTACAAGTACCGCTAGGTATCTGCTAACCAAGGAAAGATCAAGAAAAGATGGTTGAGACTTAACATTCCTTTATCTGCTTCACTTCCTATTTTCAAGCAGTTTATTGTTTCAGGAACCTTATCTGTCATAGTTGGGAAAAAAAAACATAAAAACACTGGTAAGTGGAAGTTCTTCTTTTTCTACGGTCATAGGAGTAGAAATAAGTCATCCATTAACAGTAGGAGAGTTGAGGTTGGTGAATCCAGCCGAGACCCTGAGTGTCATTTAATGTGCAAGAAAATGAATTTTCTTTTCTTAAGGCATTCAGGTGGTAGATCGTCAGAAAATCATATAGATTGTGAATATGATTACTGGGATGATTACTACGACTATCTGATGAATCTGAAGCTTAGAAAAAGGCTTTTTGATATTTGTGTGTTCTTAAAGTTAACGAATTCTAATTATTTTGAGGGGGCACGCTCCTGCCATTAGTTTCACAGCTGAAAGCTAAATAGTCTACATTTTTAGTGCTATATTTTTTAGTATGTCTCTATTATGTGTTCCCACTCAACCACCTGCCCATTTATACTACTTTTCTAGCCCATTCACATTTATACCCTATCCTCAAATGCCAGTGCCTTTTTTCTCATCTCTACTCTCTGTTGATTCCCTTGCTTCCTATTCCGAGAAACTCAAGCCATTGGAGGAGATATTTCAGACCCCCACTATAACTATTTCATGGGCCAGATCTGTACCGATACATTTTTTTCATTCTAACCTCTTACCGTAGGTGATTCCTCTATGATTTTCTTCAAACCAGCACCCCTTCTGGAATACTAGATTCTTTTTCTCCATGCAAGTGCATCACTCCAATTCTCTTCCTACTAGATCTTTTTAATCAGCCCATAAGCATCCAGTAACTGCTAAGAAAAAAAAAAAATGTTCTCCTTATCTTCTGCTGCAAGCTACAGTCACAATTCATTTTCCCTCCTGTAGCTAAACTCCTTAGAGGAATGCTCTACACTCTGTCTCCAATTCCTATCTACCCAGTTTCAACTAAACCCACTGCAATAAGGCTTCATTTTCTTCCCCATCACACTTCTGTAACTGCTCCCTTTAAGATCACTGAACACTTCCATGTTGGTAACACAGAGCTCAATTCTCAGTCTTCATCTCATTGACCCATTAGCAGCACTGGTCTCTCCCTCCTCCTTCCAATAATTTCTTCACTTGGATTCCAGGAAAACTTGATTAGCCACTTTTCCTCCTGCCTTCTTCTTTCCTCCTTCTCAATCTCCTTTCCTAGATTCTTTTCTTCTCACCAGCACTTTAATGTTGGGGCACCCCAAAGCTCCGTTCTTTGTCACCTACTCTCTTCACTCCTCTGGTGATGTCATCCACTCTCATGGCTGTGATTGGCATCTATATGCCCACAACGCTGAAATAAACACTTCCAGCCTACATCTCTCTGCTGAACACCAGACTGACACACCTAATTGCTTAGAGTCCTAAAAAGTTCAAAACTCAACCCCTAATCTACCTCCTCAAACCATCTCCATCCACTGTCCTCCTCGTGTCAGCTGATGGGAACCCCATCCTTCCACATTGCCAGGCCTCAAACCTTAGAATTGGCTTAGGTTCTCCTTCCTTTGACAATCTTGAATCCAGTTTGTCAGCCAATCCTGTTGGCCCTACATTCGAGGTATATCTGAGTTTGACATTTTCTCATCTTTCTACTGATAACACCTCATCTCCACCATCTCTCTTAACTGGGCTCCTTGCTTCTACCCTCGGCCCTCTCTAACTAGACTCTCTTGAGATATCAGTGTTCCCTTTAAAATAGAAATCAAATTGTGTTGCCACTTTGCTCAAAATCCTCTAGTGTTTTCCTTGGAGTAAGAACCGAAGTCCGTTGTGTGACCTGTGGGCCTTATGTGATCTGGCCCTCTGTTCACTTTCCACCTTCATTTTCTAATGCTATTTGTTGGAGGTCACTCCGCTCCAACACCCTTGCTTCCCTGGACCATACCTGGAACACTCTGGCCTCAGGCCTTTGAACTGACTGCAAGGACATGCCCCCCAGATGTCCTAGGGGGACTAACTCCCTCAGCTCCTTAACGCCTCTCCCCAGGGGTCATTTCTATTTAACATCACAAACTCCACTCCTCTCTCTGGATTTCCTGGTCCTCCTTACTTCCCTCTATTATCCCACAGCACTTGATCACTTTTAAAAATGCTATATAATTTATCTATTAGTATGCGTAATTGGCTTCTTTGTCTTTGCTACTAGAAGGGTGGGGAATCTTTGTTTACTGATGTTTTTCCAGGACCAACCTAGGTTATAGCTGGGTGTGTAAACCACTTTCAATGGCTATTTATTTAAATGACTGTAGCCAAAGGAATGAAGTCTGTGCTGCCTATATTAATGGAAATTTCTGTTTCTTTTTTAGATGGAAAGCAATTTGGGGATGAACATTGCCAATGCTACTATTGCACTATTTGGACTTGTTTTTCTCTCAATCAGTTTATTCGCTAATGACCCATTACTCAAGGATTGTCAGTCTTCTCAGCCACAGGACTTATGCATTTACAAAGAAACTTCCTCAAGTGTATGCCTTTAAAAATTAGAGAAAGCCCACGCACAGCAACAAAGACCCAATGCAGCCAAAAATAAATAAATAAAATAAATAAATTTTTAAAAATTATGTGTAATTATAAAATATTTCGACAATCTAAAATGTAGAGAAAATATACATCAGGTACCATGCTGCCTTCACTTGAATCTGGGCTCTGCCACTTAGTAGCCCTGTAATGAAGGGACAAATTAGATAACCTTGTTGTGTTTCAATTTTCTCATCACTGAAATGAGGATAGTGGTAGTATCAGTCTTAAAGGGTTGGGGTAAGGATTACATAAATTCATATTTGATAAGCAATTAAAACTGCATATTATGTACTACTACTGTTACATTCCCCAGAGAGATTACATTTTTTAAAAATTTTATTCACATCTTGCATAATGAAACTAACTTGAGAGATTTACAATTTTCTGCGTGGTCTGGGATTTTCAAATAGTGACTCATTGAAGTTTTGAATGGCTTCACTTTTGAATTTATTTGAGTATGGTATTTTAAAAGGGAAGTTCTTTAATAACCTTTTCAAAGTATTTTTTGTTCATGTTTAGATGTTCTCCCTCTTCTGTGGTCAACTGAGAAATTAATATTTTCCTCCAAATGTGTCCATTTTCCCCATGATGATTTATGAACTGTTATTTACTGACTTACTCCTAATCCTCCTGTTTGCTGATACTACTCAGGCGAGTTTGTGTCCTCACATTTTTTTTTTTTTTTTTTGCGGTACGCGGGCCTCTCCCTGCTGTGGCCTCTCCC